CTGCGAGAGGGCACAGGCCGGGCTGGGGGACCCCCTTCCCCCCGCCCCCCGAGTGCACAAATTTTTGTGCACCAGGCCTCTAGTTATATATATAAAAGCCTAAGCGATCAACCCACTGGTCGCTATGACGCACACTGACCACCAGGGGGTAGACAGTCAATTCGGGAGCTGCCCCCTGGTGGTCAGTGCACTCCCACAGTGGGAGTGCTGCTCAGCTGACCAACTGGCACCAGATGCCAGGCTCACTACCAAGCAGTGGCAGTGGCAGGGGCAGCAGGGCCGGGATGAGCGGGAGCAGTGCCAGGCCAGGCTCGGACTCCTCCCTGGCTGCCTGCTGTTTTAGGCACTACCACATCCCTTGGGGGATGTCAGCTGGCCTGTGGGATCGGGCTGAAACCAGCAGTCCGACATCCCCCCAGGGGCCCAGGATTGTGAGAGGGCGCAGGCCAGGCTGAGGGCCTCGTGTGTGTGTGTGTGTGTGTGTGTGTGTGTGTGTGTGTGTCTGTGTGTGTGTATAAGAAAAGTAAAGGGGGGGAGCACTTGTTCTCTCTATGGGGAGGCTTTAAAGGACATACCCTCTTAGCCCTCGGGCCCATGAAGGCTTTTGCAACCCAGTTTTCAATGGTTCCTATTAGTTGGGTGTTGTCTCACTGGATTGGACAGAACTGGTGTGAGTCCGTCCTCCCAGATCAGCAAAACCTGGTTGAAAGAGGAAATAACGACTGGCTTAGGAGTCGGGAAACCTGAGTTTGCCCAGTTCTGCAACGTCTGGGTGACCCTGGGCAGGCTGCTAATCCAGATCTCTCTCTAGCACCTGAAAGTCGGTGGGGACGCCTGGTGCCATGGCCAGTCCAGCTTCAGGCCGAGCTGCCAGCTCTCTATGAGGCGGTGAGGGTAGCGGTGCAGACCAGAATGGAAAGCCCTGACCCTGACTGAAATATCCACCCTGACGGGTCCCCAGGGTGAAAGAGGCTACCGGTGGCATGCCCATATTCAGTCTCAGGTGTCCTTTCCAATAACCCGCTGCAGCTCACTGGTCCCGGGCTACCGGAGCTCCTGCGGATTTCCATTTCTCAGGTGCCAGGGCTCTTGTCACCGCGTGTCATTGCATTTGCTGCAGACCTCAGTGGTGCTCAGAGCAAGGTGCAGCAAGCTGCCGACCTCGGGCACTCGGAGCTCCAGGGTTATGGTAAGCCTGACCCTAGCATGCAGGGCCGGGGTGCGGGGGGTGGTGAGTAGGCCTCCAGCCTTCTTCCCCATGTCATTAACGCTTGGGCTTGGTGGTTGCTAATGCCCAGTGAAAAAGCAGGTTTGGATTCTTCAGGAGGAGCAGGTGTGTGAGTGGGTCTCCCACCCAGGCTGCCTCCGCCTCCCTCCTGAGGCTGGGCCGCTCCAGTCCTCCCAGGACACCAAGCTTGAGTTCATGGACAGCTGGGACGCCTCCCTGGAGGACTGCCTTCTCGTGGCTATGGCTGTGGTAACGTTCTTAAAAGTCGGTATGGCCCGGCTGGTGTGGTTCAGTGGTCGAGCGTCCACCCAGGAACCAGGAGGTTACCGTTGGATTCCCAGTTGGGGCACATGCTGGGTTGCAGGCTCGATCCCCAGAGGGGGGAGCGTGTAGGAGGCAGTCTATCGATGTTTCTCATCAATGTTTCTCTCCCTTTCCCTTCCTGTCTCAAAACGTATTTTTTAAAAAAATAAATAAAAAGAAAGCTGCTTACAAACCTTAAAAAAAAGTCTGTTACTAGATCCGATACTGTCATATTTGTGTTTTCTGCTAAGATGCAGTAGACGGTGACTTCAGTGCTTGCGGGGTAGACCATCCTGTTGAGTCTGCTCTGCTAAGGGGAGGAGCGCTTGCTGGGGCCGCTCAGGCCCCCAGGGCTGGCAGATGGGTTTCCCAGTTTGACCTGAGCAGCGGGAGTCAAGGGAGGAAGAGTTGCATTTCTTTAATATGCGTTGAACACATAATGTGTTACATGTTTTGGAGGTGGAGGCAAGATTTGAGAGCCTTCCTTGTGGGGTGTGATTAAAGCAGGGGTGGGCAAACTTTTTGACTCGAGGGCCACAATGGGTTCTTAAACTGGACCGGAGGGCCGGAACAAAAGCATGGATGGAGTGTTTGTGTGAACTAATATAAATTCAAAGTAAACATCTTTTTTTTTTTTAGTTTTATTCATTTCAAACGGACCGGATCCGGCCTGCGGGCCATAGTCTGCCCACGGCTGGATTAAAGCCACCCACGTCAGCATGTGAAATAGCCTAGAGACAGAGAACTGAGAGCCCTGCCCGCACAGGCATGGTCCAGGCATGGGTGCAGGTGCCATGCCAGGAGAGACGGCCTGGCAGCACTGTCGGGCGGAGGCAGAGTGGTTGAGAGGGTGGGAAGAGGGGAGGTTTGGCTGTGAAGGAGGAAAGGATGACAGCGGGAGGGGAGGGGATTCACTGTTAATGAAGGACCAGCAGATCAGACTGGAGAGGGAAGCTTCCCCGGGGATGAGTTCCAGGAAAGGGAGGGAAGGATTTATTGAGTCTGGGGGAGGAAGTGTTATGCAAAGTGCTGAGGTCCCAGAAAACGTCAGTGTGTTCATGGATTCCAAATAACCCGAGGACTGGCTGTGAAGACACGGGTGCACCAGGGGCTGCCGGCCGGTGCTGCTGTTTCGCCACCACCCAGACATTCCCAACACAAGGTTTTACGGAGTACACAACACAGAAAAACAGGCGTGCAGGGGGAGTAGTGCTTGCATGAGGTCAAAACACCAGCTGTTTACAATCCAGACACACATCTAGAAGTTTCTGTTTGACCTTAGACTGAGTTGCTGGCCAGGTTCCCAAGGTCTCACCGTCCCTACTGCTGGCTTTCACTATATTTCCCACGGGGGGCGGGGGGCGTTGGAGCCTTGGAAGGGGCCCATTTACCATATAGGAGGGATGGTCTTGCGAGTCTAGATCCAGCTTCCTCGGTACCTAGAGGAGGAGAGGTGGGGGCAGTCCCAGCAGGAGGGTGTCTGTCCTGCAGAGTAGGAGGAGGGCATTGAGAGTGAGGAGGAGAGGAGGGCCCCAACGCTTGAGCATGAAGGAGGCTTGAAATTGAGGAAGGGACAGCAAGCTGACTAGAAACCTAGTGTCATTCATGGCGGAAGTCTTTCCCGGGCACCACCTTCTAGGTACCAGTGGGTGTCCAGGCACCCACGGGCCCAAGGCTGATGGGAGCACGCCTCCGACAGGAGCAGACGCAGGGCTGAGGATGAAGGGTCAGGTGGGCAGACAGCCCCGGAGTGCAGGCAGGTCAAGGAAGAGAGGCGTGCAACCCAAGTGAGGAGTGGGCCGGGAAATAGAGGTGCTGGAGGCCTGGAGGCGCTCCTGTGGGCAGTGAACACTAGCAGGGAGAAGACAAGCACACGAGGACAGGAGGCGGAGGCCAGAGGGGTTGTAAGGGCAGCATTTGCAGTGATGAAGAGGTCCTGGGAAGGTCCGGGGAGAGAGAGTGTCCTGGTTCAGAGAGGCCAAGACGTTGGACAGAACTGAGGGCACCCACGTTGACAGCAGACAGACAGCCTTCACCATGAAGTCCTGGAAACCAAGGAACCATGCCCGCAGGCCAGAGACGCCCTACCCAGGAGCTGGGAGGTGAGTACTAGTAAAAGTTCTGTAATTCAGGGAATGAGTGAGTCAGCCTGCCTGAGGCCACGAAGCTGGTGGTGAGTGGCAGACAAATGTCAACCGCCATCAACCCCAGATCTGGCTCCAGGGCCCTGCCCTCACGGGTCATAGAGTCCAGGGTCACTGGGGCCAGCCCAAGTCATAGTCACGAGGCCTCACCTTTGCCAGGTAATTATCTTGGGTGACAAATAGCAATCACTGCCTTTCACCCTCATTTCCAAACTCTGTCCAAAGGTTATTGTGCAGGTAAGTGGGGTGCCCCACCCCCAGTAGTCAAATAGACAGGGAGCTTGAAAAGTGGGCCAGGTGCCACGCGTGGCCGCCGAGGGCTCTTGTCTGTATCTGAAAATGTGAGTCAAACACGAGGATGCCTCGAGACATCGAGAGTTCAAGGTTTCCTCCAGCCTGGCCCGCCGCTGGCTGCTGCTGTTTCAACAGTGACCTTACACAGACATCATTAACGCTCAAAGGAGGGGCCCACTCTGACTAGGGGGTTTCTTGCGTTACCCCTAAAATATGGCTCTGGTCAACATCAGGTCTGTCCCAGGCCCGTTTTGGGAAGGGGTGTATTTACAGAAAGTTGGTTTACGTCTCAGAGGCACACCTGGGAAGCCAGCTACACTTCCCGCTATCAATGTGTTGAAGTGCAGCCTTATTGGGGATGGCGAGTCGATGCTGACGGGAAGGGCCTGGGAGCAAGCCAGTGGCTCTCTTCTCTCCCGGCCTATGGCGCTTGGAAGAGATCCTTCCCAGGCTCACCCCCCTCTAACCAAACAGAACAGTATTTACTTCCTCCTCTTGCCAGTCAAACCACATTTTTCCTCTTGGGGTAAGAGGGTGAGTGAAGGACTGAGCCTTGCCAGCCTCCACGGGGGCAAGCTGACCCAGGAAAGGGCTCTGTCTGGGTCACGGCGGGCAGTGGGCGCCTGACCTGATCCCCCGGCCCAGGCTGCCCGGGGCTGGCGGCCCACGCTGCTGACAATGGCTCACGCATGGCCTTTGGTCTTTCTGCCCTTTCTTAACTGTGAGCATAGACACAAACTGCCCTTCTCTGGCCTCAGTTTTCTCACCTGTGAAACGGGCTAATGCTAGCACTTAAGTTTGGAATTGTTGAGGATGGAGCGTTCCAGTGGCACCCAAGTCAGCGGTTAGTGTTGGCTGCATCAGTATGTGCTCCCTCCACGGGCTGTGCATGCACCCTGACTCTTACGGGCCTCTTCTCTCTGCCTCTGCCCTCTCAGCTGACACCTGCCCACTGGGCTGTAATCACAACCTCCTCCACCCCAACTTCCAAACGCCGGGCTGCTGGAGCTGGTCTCCACTGCTGACACGGACACAGAGTGGTTCCAGTTCTCCCTGCCTCTGGCCGGTGCCCCCTTGGCAGTCAAGCCACGCTCACTGCTCACCGGAGGACACTGCTGCATCCCTGTTCCCCGCCTCCCAGGGGTCTTTCTGGATTCATCTGCTCCCTCAACACTCAAAAGGCACAGGGCTGCACCTGATTCCAACCCAGCCCTCCCCTCACAGACAGCAGAGACACAAATAGCAGGAAAGTGTGGTGAACGCTTGACCAGACGTCCTCATCCACCTCACTGAGGATTAAATAAGACAGCGAGTGCCGCGGGGACAGCATCTGGCGCACGGCCAGCGGTCAGTCCCTCTCAGCTGCTTTGATTTCCTGGAGTCTAATCGCAAAGGCTTCAGCACCGGCAGGGCCTCCCCAAACTCCTCCGCCTTTTCCCCAACTGGACCCAGCCATCCCAGAAGGCCAGAGGACAGAGGGAAACTGACCCCCCAGCAAGGGACAGTGCCTGGCCTGGGGTCACACAGCCAGCAGGAGACAGAGGTGGGTAGGACTTGAGCCCAGGCAGTCCTGGCAGCCTCAGCCCATGCGGGCAGTGGCAGGCAGGGGCCAGGCAGGGCTGCTGGTGCCTGAGTCAGTGCCTGGCAGCTGCTGTTGACATGTGATAACGGGTGTTTGTTTAGCTGGGGCCACTCATCAAAGGGGTTAATGTTCAACTCCCTCCAGTCCCTGGGGCTGCAATGGGAGCTGAGTGGTCAGACTTCTCAGGCCGGAGCCCCACAGCCTATCTGCCCTGGACGATGACCTGAGGCCTCAGGCGAAGGCCCAGGTCTGTGGGGGGGTTCTTTGGGAACACAGGGCCGCAGGCTGGACTCCTTGCTGGGAGGAGAAGCCTCAGGCTCCGGACAGTCACACAGCCCGTAGGGACCCACCACATTGGACTGGGCTGGGGGGCTGGAGACCCCTGGGGGGACCCAGTGGCTTGTGGCTCACAGTATGGAGGTGGGGCTGGTCAGTGGCCCTGAGCTCACTTGGGTTTGGGAGTCTTTGCTCACCTTTCTCTCAGCCTCACTCCTGATGGAGTGGCTCCTCTAACCCTTCAGCTGTCCACCCAGGTCCCTCCCAGATCCTCTCAGACCCTCCACCCCACTCTTCTCTCTGCTCAGCCCTCATCCCTCCAGCCTGTGGGGTCCTTAGGGCCGGATGGGTCTTGGCACAGAGAGGCCTGGGCAAGCCTCAGGCTGATGGGGAAGGGGATTCCCTCCTGGAGGAAATAACCCCGGGCGCTCAGCCTCCCTCCTCACGGGCCAGCTGGGCAGGGTGCAGGTCACCCCAAAAAGCCACAGCCTCGGGCTGCCTCCAGCCATGGGAGCCCCAGGCCAGTCTCTGCTCCTCGCTCCCAGTGAGGCCGGGAGGCTGGGAGCCCATGCAGGGCAACGAGGCTGTGCCCAACCTGTGCTGGGGCCGGGCCACCCTGCCCCAAGGAGAAAGGGCCTGGAACAGGGCAGAGCTGCTGACTCCGCGTTGGGCTGGGGACAGAGCCTGAGGTGTGGGATGGGGCGGGAGGGCTGAGGGCCAAGGGGGACATGGGGGGTGGGGTGGGCAGCAGCCTCTCTCCCACCCGCCACAGCTGCAGCCTTCATGTCAGGTGAGCACTGGCCGGCCCTCTGGCCCACCTCTGGGCACAGAAGCTGCCGCTCCCTGGGGGTTCCCACGCAGCCCCGAGGGCCCCATGAGCACTGAGCTCAAAAACTGGGCCTCATCCAGCCTCGAGGAACCTTCCAGATCCACCTCTGTGCAGCCAGGAAATCCGAGAGGGAAGCAGAGGCGCAGGTGTGAGGGGCAGAGCAGGCACGAGGAGGACGGGAGAGGGACCCCCGTCTCGCTCCAGGCTGGCTGCTGTCCTTGAGGGCGAGTAGGGGAGGGGTGTTCTGAAGAGCGAGCAAATCTGGAGGCACGAGAGAGAACAGGGCACCCTCGGCACCACAAGGAGGAGGACTTGGAGGGGGTAAAGTTGAGGGATGCCCAGTGGAGATGAGAAGCCGGGGGCAGCTCTGGCCCCACCGCCAACCTGCCTACGCAGGTGGTGCTTGAGCCCAGCGCCACCCAATGGAAACGCTAAGCTGACCCCTCCGAGCCCCAGTGCCCTGTGGACAGGGGGCACCCTGAGGGTGCAGTGGGGCAGCCAGGCTGGCCTCCAGCCCTGGGTGGGAGAATCCACACACTGGGCTGACCTGTGGGTGAGCCAGGGTATGACTGCCCTCCCCCTGTGCCAGGCAATATTCAGGGCACTGGGTCAGACAAACAGGCTGCAGCCAGGGTGGCAATGTGTTGTTGCCACATGGCTTCCAAAGGCCTCGGTGTCAGCCGGGTTGAGAGTGGCCTGTGAAGATGGCTGACTTTGGACTTCGGCCATCGGGAGCTACAGAGAACTGTACCCTTCCTTCCCTAGCGTTAGCCCAGCTCCTGCTGCCAGCACCTTGTCACTGCACCCAGTCACTCACTCACTCACTCACTCACTCACTCACTCATCGCAGCTTCTTCCTGGGCTGAGAACTGAGGCCTCGGATATGGCCCTTGACCTGACAACACCTCATTTTACAACTAAAGCAGCCCTGCTGTGACAGCGTATCGATGACAATTCAAAAAGGAAATAGAGGGGTGCGACATCTGGCTCCTGAGCCTCAGTCTCTTCGCCTGTGAAATGGGTATTCATGGAGCTTTGGTGAGGATTAAACACGACATCTGCTTCAGTGGGCTCAGCATTGCGCCAGGCACTTGATGCGCTTTTGATAAGCCCCAGACCTCGGCTGTTGGTGGAAGCCCCTGACAGAGGTTGGCCTGGGCGCGGTATTTGTGTGAGGGGAGACTGAATACTCCCCTCCCCCAAGAGAATATCCCTTCCTCCAAGGCGTGTCCCTCCAGCATGTCCCTGCCGCCACCTCTGAAGTCCACCTGTGGCCAAGGAGGTGAAGAAAGGACAGCCACTGTCAGCAGGGCGGGAGCCAGGGACAGGCGTGGGCCGCGGTTCCCTTGTCGTGGTCACTCACTGGGTCCACCTCCAGGAAGAGGCCACTTCTCTGTTCTCAGCACATGTGGCTCAGGGTGGACCAGCCTCCCCAGTCACCCCAGCCTGACTGTAGGGCTGGCCAATCAGAGGGCAGGTCCCCGGGCACTGTGCTGGTCCAGGGATGGACATACGGTCAAGCTGTGCCAAGGAAATGCAACTTTGGGGCCCGAGACCAAGGACGCTCTCTCCATCGGGGTTGACAAAAGCCTGGAGCTGTCATCCACCTTCTCGCCACCCCAGGGCGAGGCCACCAAGGGAGGAGGTTGGGTTGGACCAGCGTTTACAACCCGGGTGCCTTAGCCGGCAGCCCAGGTACATCCTTCGGGCCTTTAACACCTGCTACTGCTGGGACTCGGAGACAGGTCCGGCCAGAGGCCAGTCTGCTCACGGATTTGCTGTGTGACTCACATCCAGGGATTGCCCCGCTCCAAGCTTCTGTCCACAGCAGGCTCTGAGCCCTGCCTTGTGAAGTGCACAGGGCTGGCAAGGCCCTGCTCAGTCCACGGGGCCACAGGCCTGGGCCTCGGCCACTCGCTGCTGCACTTGGCAGGAGCCGCAGGAGAGAGTGGAGGCAGGCGGGCGGCCGCCCCTGCCTTCACGCAGCCGCCTTTCCCGGACCCTGACTCACTCAGGCTTGCTGGGTGCGGTGAGGCTGGAGGCAGAGCCGGAGAGACGAGGAGCCGGAGGTCTCGTGCTCCTGGGTTTGAATCCACACCTCGCCATTGCCTGGCTGTGTGATTTGAGGCAAATGAAGGTTTTGAGCCTCCCTTTTCTCATCTGCTAAATGGCAATAATAATAACTGTCACCTCCATGTCGGTGCGGGGCTTCAATGTTCTGTGTGTCATCTTGGTTTCTCCCCGTAGCCCCGAGAGGTAGACCTCACCTCTGCCTGTTCCAAATGAAGAAACTGAAAGAAAATGACACGAAGCCCTGGCTGGGTGGCTCAGCAGGTGAGTGACATCCTGATACGCCAAGGTTTCGGGTTCGATCCCTGGTCAGGGCACACACAGGAATCAACCAATGAATGCGTAAATGATGGGATGACAAATTGATGCTTCTCTCTCTCTCTCTCTCTCAAAATCAATCAGTCAATAAAATTAATAAAAAAAAAAAGAAGAGGGCACTAAAAACCATAGGCCCACAGAACCGACAGAGCTGGGTCTTGAATCCCTGTTTTTCTGTAAGTCAGCTTCCCTAACGACTTACCAGGCCCTGTTCAGGCAAGGTTCAGCCAGGAAAAACAGGGTTTCCAGCAGAGGGACTGAGCCCAGGCGCGGACGGGCTTGCAAAACCATTGGAAGAGCTGGGGGAGCGAAAGGCAGGCAGCCCCCGCCGGGGATTGGAGATCAGAAAGCACAGGAATTGCAGAATTGTGTTCCTGGTACTCACGATGGGCATCTGTGTGTGTCCTATGGGGGGCGTTTTGAAGAATGGTGTTGCTGGGTATCGTTCACGCGTGGCTGTTGGTGGACATAATGCTCGCTTCCATCGGGTATATGAACAGGAGGGCAACTACAGGTTCCTAAGAGAGGCGAGTTCACAACCCACTGTTTCCCCACACTTTGTTATGAAACATTTCAGACCTACAGGAAACTGGGAAGAATTGTTCAGCGAATCCCATGTCCGCTCTACCTGAGTGCCCCAGTCTGCCTTGGGGCTCTCTTTCCACCTGCCCATCCTACTATCTCCTTTTCTTTTTTTCATTTTATTAATCGTCATTGCTTTTTAGAAAGAGTAGAGGGAATGAAGGAGAGAGAGAGAGAGAGAGAGAGAGAGACATCAATGTGAGAGAGACGCATCGATTGGTTGCCTCCCCAACTTGCTCCGAACAGGGCTGGGGATTGAACCTGCAACTCGGGTACAGTACGTTCCCTTGGCCAAGTATCAAACTGGAAACCCTTCAGTGCACAGGCTGACGCTGTAACCACTAAGCATACTGGCCAGGGCACTCTATCTACTTTTGTTGATGTAACAATATAATTTTTTTAAAGAGAATTTTTAAAAGAGTTTATTTGAGCCAAACTGAAGACACATGCCAGGGAGCAACATCCCAAATGCTCCCAACAATTTAATTTTAAGCGGGGGTGGGGAAAGCAAGATACAAAATTATCCAAAGCCATTGACCCAGAGAGACTGGGAGGAAGTGCAGCAAACATCCTGTGTCCACATGATCTCTGCCTGATAGGATTTCCCAACTTTTCTGGTCAACATTTTTGATGAAGGGGGAAAAAAAAATCTGTTTTAAGTTAAAAGGAGCTTTGTCTTTTATAGGATTGGAATGTCTCTCTTTGGGGAACGGAGTCCATGGAGAGATGAATGGAGAGGGTTGCCCCCCTCCCCCTTCAACGAAGAAGGAGCCCGAGAGAAGCTGTGGAGGGACCGGACCTTCTGAGAAGGCTCCAGAATGTTGCAACATTTCGGCTTGTTCAGCCCAAACGGAGATTTAGAAGAGGATGCTTCCCCAGCCTGAAGTACCTGATGGCGCCTGCATTCCAGGGAGCGCTCGACAGGAAGTAAGCCAACCCCGGTGTCCAGCTCGCTTGCGGTGCTCGAGAACACGCTTTAAGCTGCTTGACTCAGTGCCAGTACCATCATGTGGTCCCGTCTGAGTTGCCCAAACTAAGAACAGCTCAGCTGAAAATAACACTGAGCTAGTTCCCCCATGGCCCATCCTAGCCCCGTGGCCCATCCTAGCCCCGTGGCCCATCCTAGCCCTGTGACTGTGGCCGTGGCATCTCAAAGATGGGCCGACCGGAGACAAACAGGCAGAAGGAGGAGGTGGAGCGTGGGTCGTCTGCACTGCAATCCCCTGTGGAAAGTGGTCAAGCAGACAATGAGCGTGTCTGTGAATATGGCCTCCTTCACCTTTGCAGTTGGATTGGTATCAGCTCAGAAGATGGAGAACATTGACGGGGAGATAAAGATCTGGAGAGAAAAGGACTCCTCAGGAAGAACATCAGCTGCTCACTCGTCCCCCAGGACAGGCCTCCAGGGAAACGCTTCGCTCTCTCCGAAGCCAAGCATTGGAGCTGGTTACCCAAAACTGGCACCTACGAGGGCGAGTGACGCGATCGGCATGGGAAATTGGGAGCTTTATCCGATCAAGGAACAGCCAGGACAACATCAGAGGTCAAAGGAGCCGCTCAGCTGAAACTAGTACAGAGTAATATTGAATGTAAACTGTAACTGAAAAAAAATAAGAAGCAGCTCAACAACAGGAAGATCAGGAACAAAGGAAGGAAGAGGATGATGGGCAAACATTGCACCAAGCTCGGGAGTGGGATGACGCATCCGAGGGCTGATAACTGAGAGAACCTGGGTCAGCCTTCCCACAGCAAGACAGGCCTGCGGGGGGCGGGGGCGGGGCGTGCACATCTTCCCATCCCTGGGCTCCTGCTTCCATTCTGGACCACGAAGGCAAAGGTGCTTAATCTTGCTTTGTGTTCAATAAAGTGTCAAGCAATTAAGTATTTATTTGTGTCCTAGGTGATGAGCCAGCGACCTTGTTTTGGCATTATCATCCCTATCAGAGTGCAACCCAATTTCTTAAGTGAAAGAAAAGAGGACTGAGAAATGGCTCTGTATAGTCAATGGCTGTATGAATTCTCCTTAAAAACTAATGAAACGCCCTGGCCAGTGTGGGTCAGTGGTGGGAGCGTGGGTCCGTGCACCGAAGGGTCTTCAGTTCGACTCCCCATCAGGCGCAAGTATCTGTGTTGCAGGTTCCATCCCTGCCCCTGTCGGGCTCTCGGGAGGCAGCCAATCAATGTGTCTCTCTCACATTGATGTTTCCCTCCCTCTCTCCCGCCTTTCCTGAAAATCAATGGAAAAAATATCCTCGGGTGAGGGTATGTTTCATGAGCCTGTGCAGGAAAAAAAAAAAGAAAAGAAGGAAATAAAAGAAAAGAAAAGAAAAAGAAAGGAAAGAAAAACAAAGAAAGAATTTATTTGAGCCAAATTTTTGAGGACATGCCCAAAGCAAAATCTCAACAGACTGAGAAAATGCTCTGGAGAATGGCAGTCTTGCAGCTCATTTTATTTTATTATTATTTTTTAAAATATTTTTATTGATTTCAGAGAGGAAGGGAGAGGGAGAGAGATAGAAACATAAATGATGAGAGAGAATCATTGATCGGCTGCCTCCTGCACGCCCCCTACTGGGGATTGAGCTCGCAACCCAGGCATGTGCCCTTGACTGGAATCCAACCCGGGACCCTTCAGTTCGCAGGCTGATGCTCTATCCACTGAGCCAAACCGGTCAGGGCAATTGCAGCTCATTTTGTACATTTCATCCAAGGAAAAACATGAGGAGGATCACCTGAAACCCATTCGTGATAGATTGACGGGCAGGAGAAAGCAAAGAGGGGACATGCCTACAATTAGATAAAAGATGAAGGGAGAGAGACATACTTCTTTGCCATCGGTGAGTGCGAGATGGCTAACATTTCACATCCACGGCGCGTGGAGATGGCTGCGGGCAGCGAGAGAACACGAGGAGTTCGTGGTCTGTGCTCCGTGGCCTGTGCTCCGGTGCAGGTGGTGGCGCCCTGAGGCGTCTGGAGAAGAGAACTATCTGACAAGTCGGAGGTGTGTTGTCCGAGGCCTGAGAACAGAGGACAGGGCTCACAGCAGAGCTCGAGCTTCACGTGACGACCTGCCGCGACCTGCCCAGTCGGGAATTTGTGGTCAGACCCTCCTGTGCGGTTTTGTTCGGCCAGTGAGCTTGTCAGTCCTGCCACGCGGCCCCCTGAGCTTGTGGGGTCTACCGTGTTGCCCCCCCGACCCCGGTTCACAGGTTTATATATCTGCAAGCATTGCCGCACAACTAAAAAGATCAAGTCCTCAGGGTAGTTAAATAAAACCATTTTCCTCGTGTTTCTGCCCCCTCTGATTTTTGTAGCTTGACTGTCGATACTTTATTTAGTTTCTTCACTCTTTCCTCAAATCCTTTAATAAAGCCAGTTAGAGCTACAAATGTACTCAGTTGAAATCTGTTTTTTTTTTATTTTATTTTTTAACATTTAAGGAACCATATTTTTTTCTTTAAATATATTTTTTTCATTGATTTCAGAGAGGAAGGAAGAGAGACAGAAACATTAATGATGAGAGAGAATCATTGATTGGCTGCCTCCTGCATGCCCCAAACTGGGGTGGGGGGAAGAGGATCGAGCCGGCAACCTGGCATGTTCCCTTGGCTGGAATCGAACCTGGGATCCTTCAGTCCAAAGTCCAACGCTCTATCCACTGATCCAAACCGGCTAGGACTGAGTTCTGGTTTTTAACAAATCTTAACAACCATCTGAAGGAATAGAGGCACAGAGAGGACAATCAATCGCCTCTCTGGCGCTAAATAGGGAATAAGTAGTGGAACTGGGATTAGAACTCCGGCCGCAGGGTGCCATGACCTCAGTCCACTCATGCATTCAAACATCCACTGCCCAGCTACGATGGGCAGGACCTGGAGGCGGAAGAGAGACGGGGTAAGTAGATGCAGGCAGCCAGGACAACAGAGGCTGGGGGCTCGCAGCCTTTGGGGGAGGGCTGGGCGGGTGCTGGCCTCGTGGGAGGCCTGGCTTCGGGGAGAATGTGCCGACCAGCTTGGCTAGTGGCTCACAGCTCCGGGCAGTTCCTTGTTTGCCCCACTGTGGATAGAAGCTCTATTTGCATAACCGGTAAAGCTGTTGGCTGCTCCCAACAGAACATTTGGGGGTGACTCCCAGCAGGTCCCCAGCAGTGGGTGGGGGTTTGGGGCAGACTTGTAGGTGAGGGAGGCCCCACAGTTGACTGGAATCTCCCTAGAGGTCCTGGTGCGGAGGGAGGTCTGGGGCCCCAGGCCTCCTCCCGGAGGAGGCCCTGCTCACATCCCCTGATCTCCTGACTCCCCCACCTGCTGCGGCCCTTGTGCCCACTCCAACCTCTCACATCAGGGGAGAGGTACAGGAATCCTGTCGGGCCAGATTCCTGCTCCCTGGGACAGCGGAGCTGGGGGAGAAAGTTGGCCACAGTCTCCCAGGATATGGCAGATCTTCCAAAGTCACCTCCCCTCTTCTCTTTCATTCCCCTCCCCCTCACTGCCTGCACATCGTCCCCTCTGCCTGGTTAGATGGCATTCTGAGAAGCTCTGGGGCAGGCCACGGTCACAGAGGGTCACCAGTGGGGCCCCACCGACCTGAGTGGCTTCGCCAGGCCCTGGTAGGGTAGGGAGCTAAAGGGGGTGGGGACAGGGCTGGGGCATCAGTCTAGGGATGGACAAAGTGCCCCTGAGGAGTGAGAGACCCTCACAGGAGGTAGGGACCCTGGCTTGAAGGAATGGGGAGCAGGGAGGGCCCGGTGGCAGCCAGGCATCCTGGGTAAGCAGAACCCCTGACTCCAGCCTGGGCCTCAGCTTACCCATCTGTAGGGGGTCCTCAGGTCCTGCTGTTCCTTCTCCACAGAAAGGTGAGCCTGCAGGACCCAGGGCTGCCTGAGGAGAGAGGAGCTCAGAGGGGGCAGTGCCTGAACCACGGTTTCTGGACTCCCAGCCCAGAGTCTCATCCCCAAGGCCTGAGTGACTTCCCTCATAACTGGGATCTTTATTTATTATTTTTAAATCCTCACAGGAGGATATGTTTTTATTAATCTTGAGAGAGGAGGAGAGAGGAGAGAGAGAGAGAGAGAGAGAGAGAGAGAGAGAGAGAGAAAGAGAGAGAGAGAGAGAAAGAGAAATATCAATTGGTCGCTTCCCTCATGCACCCTGCCCGGGGATCAGGCTTGCAACTCAGGTATGTGCCATGACTGGGAATCAGACCCACAACCTTTCGGTGTACAGAACGAAGCCACCCGGCCAGGGCATAACTGAGATCTTTAGAAAGACACTATCACAAAGGTGAGGCATGTAGGGCACAAAACAACAGGTTTTCACCACATTTGGAAAGTGAGTTTGGAAGGTCTGCTTTAAAACAGGCTGGGGACACAGGAAATGCACACCTGGGGGCCCTGGGAGTCGCTTCTGGTAGATGGACAGCCATTGCCCAGGGTCTACCACGGGGGACCCAGCAGGGCCGTATGTGCCCCCAGGGCCTCAGGGTCAGACTTGTGGTGTCGTCTCTAAATAAGCATAACCAGGCTGCCACAGAGATACATGATCAGGCTCGAGAGATGTTCATACCATACCCCTCCCCACTGTTAGCTTGTGAACAGGAAGATTAGCTTGTTTGGGATCTTTTCATGTGTATTAAAATCATCGGTTTGTTCAATTTAAGTGTTTCAAATCTGCCCCCCGTTTGGATAATCCTGTTGAGGTATTTCTTCATTTTTGAAAGCGACAGGAGCCTGCAAGAATAGGAAAGGGCCCAGGCCCCGATAGGCCTCTGGGAGGCCGGGGGATGAGCCGCTGCAATCCACCCTTACTCACAGCAGGCAACACTTGCTCTCTTTCTGCCTCTGAGAAGTCAGCTAACAACCCACAGGGCACAGCGACCCTTTGAAGGGCCTTGACGATGCCCAGCACTTTGCCCACTGGTTTCAGTGACTCCCCAACAGCCCTGTAGTGTAGGAACAATGATCTCCACTGGGCTTAGAGTCAGGCAACTTGTCCAAGGTGTTAGGACAGGGGTGGGCAAACTTTTTGACTCGAGGGCCACAATGGGTTCTTAAATTGGACCGGAGGGCCGGAACAAAAGCATGGATGGAGTGAACTAATATAAATTCAAAGTAAACATCATTACATAAAAGGGTACGGTCTTTTTTTTTTTTTTTAATATATTTTATTGATTTTTTACAGAGAGGAAGGGAGAGGGATAGAGAGTTAGAAACATCGATGAGAGAGAAACATCGATCAGCTGCCTCCTGCACGCCCCCCACTGGAGATGTGCCCGAAACCAAGGTACATGCCCTTGACCGGAATCGAACCCGGGACCCTTGAGTCCGCAGGCCGACGCTCTATCCACTGAGCCAAACCGGTTCTGGCGGTACGGTCTTTTTTTTTTTTTAGTTTTATTCATTTCAAACGGGCCGTAGTTTGCCCACGGCTGTGTTAGGAGCATAAATGAATCAGGAGGCTTTGCTAAAATTAAAAATAGCAACAATTTATTCAAGGGGCTTAGCATTTGTAAATTGAAAACACAACTAAGTATTCAGAGTGTTCTGAAGAAGAAAGAAAAACTGAATTCCTATAGTAAAAATGAGAATGTCAACGTATGAAACGTTCAAATCTGTGGAGAATTTTTATGAGTTTATATTTGAGTCAAACTGATGACAATTGCCGGGAAGCAAGATTTCAACGGATTGAGAAACTGCTCTGGAAAACAGCAGTTTTGCCAGCTATTTTATACATCAGAACCAAAAGTGAAGGTGCAAGGGGTTACATGAAATTCCCTGGTGGTAGATTAGGGAGGCGGGAGAAAGCAAAGCTGGGACACGTCTAGGACTGGATAAAAAGTAAAGGACTAGGCACATACGTCGTGTCCATTTTGGGATACAGGATAGTTAACAGTCAACAATTAACACAGTAACAATGAGGGGATTTGTGATCTCCACTCTGGTGCTGTGGTTGTGCCCGGAAAAAAAGGAAATTGCCCTGACATTCCAAAGGTATGTTATCTGAGATGCAAAAAGACAATAGACAGGCTCAGTTAAGATAAAGGTTGACCTTTGTCAGGGAAGATACTGGCCCACGACAAGACTACCTGCCAGGACCTGCTTAGTTAGAAAGTTTTCATTTCAGACCATCCAGTGTGGTCACTTTTGGTCTCTGCGCTTGAAGGC